GAAATGCCAGGACAAAGTGGAAGATTTCTCCTGGCTTGATGCTGGGACAAATGAGCCTGTCTGGACTGAGGCATGATTCTTTTTCTGAAGTAAGTTGTGCCCCTGGGCCATACTGTGCCATGGTACTCAGCTGCAGGAGGCTACATGGGGATCCTTATTCCTTACTTCATCTCCTGCTTTGCCTTTGGGAACAGCTGAGAGGAAATTCAGATACCATGAAGGTTTGGGTAGCTGTGACACACCACAGCACTGTTCTGGGTAGTGGAACATTAATCAATTAGGTGTGTGCTGGGGAAAGAACTCAGACATGGTCCTTAGCAAGCAGGGTAGACATCAAGCAGTGGACAGAAAGAGGAAGAAAAGCATTTTAGGTGCTGCCTTAGCAGCATTTCGCTGCCACGGATTGTGGACTAAAACTTTGTGGTAAGGAACATCTGCCTCATCCTCTGGTCCTTCACACAGGAATTTCAAGTCTCTGGGTCTTTGGCACCTGCTGCTGAAGGCCATGGGTTGTAGTGTAGTGAATGAGCTGATCCTCTAAAAAATGCTTTCAGACTAATTCTCCGATCCCTGATATTTATCACTGCAGACCTGCATCTAGGCCCCCTAAAGTGTGAGCATGGGACAATGTAGCCCTTTGGCTGGCCAACTTGTTTCTCTGCCCCACTTTCTAAATGCTCCTTTGATTGCAATAGCCAATACAAACCTAAAGGACCACAGCCAAGTTCCTTCCTGGTATTACCTGCAGACCCAAACAACAGCTGGCAAAACAAGGAATGTAGTAAGAGAGTTCCTCCTCTTGAGGAAGTGGAAAATGTATGCACACAACAGAATGCACTACTGAATCCACAGTCTTTAATGAATGCAGAGATTTGTTCTGGACACAGGTACTTTTGTGATTGTCCCCACACCCTCTTCTTCTCCCCCTCTAAAAATTATTCTAGTTAGTGAAATGTAAAACCACACAAAGACCAGAATACATATTCACACATCAGAGGGTTTGACATTGTTTTTCTTAAGAAAATTTCACTCATTTAGAATTATTGACTGTAAAGTCCAGTCAGTACAGCAGAAATATTCTACATAGATCATTGGTTGGAATGCACAGTACAATATTTGTGAACACACTGTCACAAAAGACATCTGGATGAACACTAACAAGTGTCATAGATCTGTCAAATCACGTTGCAAGCATCTGCATCAAACCAGTCTGGGTTGTATGGGAAATTACCAGAACATGGAAAAAAAGATGTTAAAGTACATGGGAACCTGCTACAGTCACTTTCCTCTAGAGTCACTGCTGCCACTAAAAGGTCAGGAAACTTGAACTGCTGCTTGTCACCTGAAACTTTGCTTCTGTTTCACAGGGATTGATGTCACACCTTTATTTCCAGACCTGAGTTATTGTAATTTTGCTTGAACTGGAGCAAAGAAGAGAAGGACAAACACACACCCCATCTAGCAGAGCTTACTTCTCCAGACCTGCATGGTCAAACAGCTTGAGATCAGAGGTCTTGCCTGTAAAAAGGCCACAAAATTTGAAAAAATAAACAAAGCAGAGCTGAAATAAAGCAAACGAAAAAAACCAAAACCAAAACAGAGATAACATGATTTTATACAGCCTGCAATAAAGCTATAGTCCATGGTACAGTTTTGTTCACATTACACTTATTAAGGCTTTGACTACTGGTCTTCTACATGCACATTTTATATACAAATAATCCTCTGTGTGTAGGCATAAATTACTTTACTTTTCTTGATCTAAGCAAGAAAATATTTTCATGCATTTGCTTCTCCTAGTATTCACAATACTTGGCCCATATTCTATTCAAGGATTTCTGGAGAGGGCTGGGTCTATTTATTATCCATCTGAAAATGCCCTTATCTCCAGGAATGTTGTTTGTGCCAGACAGTGGCATTGGCTCCACACTTCTCCACAGTCATACACCAGAGAGGAGGTGCCACTCCAAAGCCTGACAGCACAATGGTTATGTAAACATAGCAATCCTTGGATTATAAATACTTTATTAAAGCTAACATACCTCAGCTTTTAGCTCATAATTGCCCATGAGTGCCTTAACAAAACATTCAGAATGAAGTATTTTTTTTCCTCCCATGTCAACTGCTCAGTTACAGTGGTTCCCCCAAAACATACTTTTCCTTTTTTTTTTTTTCTGAAAGAAGTACCAAGCTACCTGTTAATTCTTCAAGCCTGTGGCTGCGTAGCTCTCATAGGCAAACAAGAACATGTCTGAGCCTTATAACTCTTAAGTGCTCTAAGTCAAAGTCACCATCTCACTTGCACCCTTGCCGTGAAGTTAAGACACTGGGCCAGCACCAGTGACAAATGGGGAGGAAGCAGAAACCAGAAGAACTCTCCCATTTCTAGCCCCATGCCTGCAGCTTGCAAGTTTGACAGGTTCCCAGAGATCACCAAAGCTGACCTGTAGCATGGCCTGTGTCCCTCTGCCTCAGGGACACCATGACTTCCCCTGCCCCAGTGTTTTCTTCAGTGAGATGTTCTGGCCGGCTGAAGTTGCAGAGCACCCCTAGGCTGTGGTAGGGAGCCCTGGGGAGAGCAGCTCCACTATGAAAAGGAAGGGCTCACAGGGAAGTGGTACTACGGAAAGGAAGCAGTGTAAAGAAGGCTGAGAAAGCAAGCATGGGTGGAGTGAGGAGGAGAGATTCCTTATTTAAGACAGGGCCTGGACTGCTGCCACAGCCC